TTGCGATTTTCAAAAATGTTTCTAATAAACAATTTATAGTGTTGTGGAAATACAAGTTTATACAAATTAAAATATTTTATGCTAAACTCACTATTAATATGGGAACATATAAATAATTATTTTACACAACACCCGCTTAATAGTAATTAAATCCTCTTAAAAACGAGGGGACCTACGTGAAACAATAAAATAATTGTAAAATCATAAATTAATTGTGTTGCTGACAAATCCAACATAGTCGTAGGGTCTCGAGAGTCAATGTATCTGTTAGTTAAACATGCAATCATTTCATCAAATAAAAACTAACACGACAATGGCTGCATATGAGGAATGCATAATTCACCATTTGCTACCTAAAACAATAAATTTTATTGCATTTTCATTATGTGTGAACTCATGAATGAGTGATACGAAATTAATAAAATTTATGTAAAAATTTCCAACACCCAGACGAGCAATAGTAGAGGCAACTCGAAAACTCAAATGAACTAGAGGAGTAGCGCAGTAGATAATACTAATAATAAAAAATCGAAAACATCAAGAAAATATTCGATGATTGATAAACGATTTTGTTGACTATAGTTTTTCTACTATATATACATAAATATATATATCTATATCTACATAAACGTATGCGTAAGTTTAAATGCATGCATAGAGTTGCACACTGCCGAGCTCTTCAGATACAATCGAATTATATGAATGAATATACATAATTTTGTCATGAACATGTTTTTGTCACTTTAGTGACAAAGAGATTTCCCTTGTGGAATATTAATAAAATGAATTAGTGTTGACTTTGTGGAAAATTGAAAAAAGTATTTAAAATAATTTGAACTTAAATAGTTTGTATGACTGGAAAATGTGAGTGCGGTAGGTATTAATTGATTTGTGCAGTTATTTGATAATGAAACTCATCTACGATATGTGAGGGTATAATTTGTGGAGATGAGTTTTTATTGAATTTTAAATTTTTTGAATTCATTAAAACCTATCTTCTAATTCATATAATTATTATGAGACAAGTTCAGTTTTATGTATTACATATATTAACATTTTGCTGATATAAACTATCAGTTTATTGAATTGAAAAAAATATATTATAATCTCAAGATTTAATTATGTTTAAAAAATATTATTACCATTTTATCGATAGTATTTAACCCAATATGAGGTGAAGGACCTATTTAAATGCATATATTTATATATCAACGACGAAAAAGACTAGAAAAGTGCAGTGTTGAAAACAAACTAATAAACAATTAAAAATTGAAAATATTTAATTTTTAATGAGAGCGATCATCCGTTTGTGCATCAAATTTTTTATCAAGAGTTCAAGTATTTCAGTGGAGAACAAATACGCATTTTTATTTCCTCTATTGGATATAGTAAGAATTAATCATTTACTTGCAATACTGTACATAAACTTCAATCAGCTTCGACCGGATGCCCATACAGAAGCAAGTAATCAAACTATCTTTGACTATATGTTGGTACCACTTTTAGTTAGGTGACTCCAATCTTGATAAAACGCAAAAATTTCAAAACATCACTTTTAAAAAGATATTCAAAGCTCTTTGATATTTGAAAAATTCTGATATTCACAGCGATCTTTCGTTTGAGACGTAAGTGATCTTGTAACCAACTCCATAAAGATTAGAAGATCTAAAGTATTTAACAGAAGAGAAACTCATTCCATCAATTATTTAGTTCTGATTCGAAGAATTCAAGAGACAGAGTAAACATTTGCCGATATCCGTTCCGTGATACTTTAAACACAAAAAAGGAGTTTTTCAATAAAAGCGATATATAAATTGCCAGGTTTCCCAATATTGAATAAAATAAATAAATACAAAGAAATATTTTGGCATACATTCAGTGTAAAAAGTATCGGGAACAAAGTTTTGTAAAACAGTGCTTTCTTACTAGTGTAAGCTATATGCCTTCCAATATTTTGTGCTCTTTAAAATTATCTGTGTACCTCCAAGAAGAGATACTTTCCTTATTATGGAGAAGCAGAAAATATACCTATGTCTCCGAAAATATCTTCACAATATAGTAGTGGAGGTAAGTTTACTAATAACAAGCGTCCTTGGGAAACACAACAGACCCATTGATGATTAATAAAAATCTGTTGTAGATCAACACTTGCATATAACATATCATAATCTAAATAACACATAATATTAAAATATTTAAGCAAAAAAATACATTTATATAAAGAATTGGTCTGTGACTTCTGAATATGTATATTAAACCATTTAGGAATATAATTAAAAATCTGTTAAAATTAGAATAAGAATGGATTCTAGCGGCGGTGCACTGCGACTATCGTTAATATTTTGTGCTAACAATCGACCCTTATCGAATAGATGACAGTAAGGTCTTAGGATGAAAACCAGAATGTGTATTGTTGAAGATTTCCTAACTTCAGATGGGTACATAAGCTCCCATCTCAATATTATTCTTCCGGCTAATAGTAAATGTGGTTATAGAAAATATGCCCATTGTTTTTATTTGCTTCCCTTGGGAGATTATATTCAAAAAGACAGAATCAATCTATCTTACCAGATAGTAGCATCTAACCACATAATTTTAAAAATAATATTAATTCAACATATATCTATTAATATAGGAAAGGTAAAAGTAAAAAAATAAAACAATACCATTTTAGTTAATTAAGCAATCGTAGTTTTCATCGTATGAGTTACTAAATTTCTTATTATGTTTCTTATTATTATTATATTATTATAAATTATATTATTATAAATTTCTTATTATTATTATAGAGTAACTATCTAAAATTGTCAAATAATATCAATATAATTACTTCTAATATACTTAATATTCGTATAATTATGTGATTATGCAAGTTATATGAATTCCACCCAGTAGTGGTTTGATAACTGATTTTTGCTTAGTAATCATATTCAGTGGGGTCCAAATTCTCTCATTCTCATGCCTAGTATTTTAAAAACTAAAGCGAGTTAGTACTCGTTACTTACAAATAACAAGTACTCGTATATTAGACTAGTAACTAGTCATTAGAGTTAAATGTAAATGCTGGTATGTGTTATTCAAAAAGTCATTAACTCTAATGATTAACTGCGTGTAACAATTAACCACGATGGCGTCAAATTTGAGGCAGAGTACTGGTAGTAAAAATTCATACACCGCCCACTTTAAATGGAAATACGTACGGCTATAAAATTGAAAAACTAGTCGTAAAAAGCAAACTAATTACAATATTATCATCGAAAAGAAAATTACTTTGAAATAAGTGAGTTCATTAAGGGTTACGGTGGGTTACCGTAGGCAGTTAAATGTAGATAAAAAACCTTTATGGAATGCACAAAAAAGAAAATGGCGCACGAACTTATTCACAGTTATACAAGCATATTTACGTAATATTTTTGAAAATATTCTGTTAAGCGATACCTGGCCACACTTAATTTTTGTCTTTGCAAATAATTAGTAATAAAATGACAGAGAAATACATTTGTATATTATCTATTTTTTCTTCTCTATTTATTATCATTGTTTCTTTGGTTCCATGTTTAGAAAGTCGAGGCATGTAATAAGCAAATTAAGGTCTTCATAGATATTTTATTTGCAATTCAGCAATATCGCATAATTTGCAATCATAAGCGCATAACTTTAAACATACCTATTTCAGTATCCCGCTTACTACCTATTCACACTGTTCACATATACCAACCTACTAGTGTAGTGTGCGGGACAGAGCACATAAAATAGAAATAGTCACGAAACTTGTTTCATTCTCAATTTTTATTAATCGACGAGAATTAATTTAAAACTATTTGGCAACATTTTAAATTGGAACAGAATTTTTATTTTTAATTAAATATTTAATTTTATTAATTTAAATGAGCAGTTTAATGAAAAACGCTACTTGATTTGTATTAATTTTTATTTCTATTTTTCTCTAAATACAATAAATTGCCCAATTTTATTTGAACTTGTTTCTATAAATGCTTTAAATAATTTATTTATTTAAATTTGTTTTTTTTTCTTTGAATTAAGTTGTTAACAAATTAAAACACGAGTATTTAAAAAAAATTAATTGATTTCAATGCATTCGGAATTGATTCAAGGTTTATAGGGACTTTTTGATTTACAGCTTCGTTTAGTTAAGTTTATGATATTCTGTAAAGTAATACTGTGTTAAGTAAGTTCAAGGTATATAATTAAAATCGGTATATAATTTTTGTTAATTTAATTTGGTTGAGGTGTTATTTAGTTCACGAGTTCATTACTAATTATTAATTGTGCATCTACATTAATTAATTTAATTTAGTTAGCAACTAACGTACTGGTTTAATGAGTGATTGTAATGACTGTTTGTAACGAATAATTGTTTTTTTGTTACAACTTATATATACTCTTATATATGTAACGAGTAATTTTGCAAATTTAGTTAAGTTTAAAGTTTTAAAAGCACACACCATAGAATGTTTTCACAGTCTTAAAAGATTTTTAAATTGTTCTATGTAACAGTTTATGACATTAATACACTATATTTATATATATACATGTTATATGCATAAATATATAATATTATATGTATATATACATATCAACTAAAATTTTTTTTAACAAAATTATCAGGTTAATTTAGGAAGTATGTGGTTAGAGAATATTTTTCTGAGTGTACTTAAAGCTATAACTTTTAGAACAGATATAAAACCTACTCATATCTACAATAAGTTGTAGAAATAAACAAAAATTAAAAAATGTTAACTATTCTGACTTATCGTTGGACGATTGGTTCTGCGTCTTAAGATATATGTTAACTATTCTAACTAATCGTTGGGCGATTAGTTCTGTGTCTTTAGATATAAGCTAAGACTCAAATTGTTAATTGCTTTAATATAAGGGATTAATAACAATATTAGTTTTTCTATTCATAATTATTATTTTTGAAATTAGTTTATTTGGTATAAAAATTGTCAATATATGTATAGTAAATACAAACTTACCTTGCGATTCATCAAAATCTTTCGTTGTCATTTGAAATAGTGCATCTAGAGGTGTACCATTTGCTTTGGTTTTGTTGTTGCTGGAACTTAAATTGCCAGTATTACTGGAACTATTACCACTTCCTGAAGCTGAGTTACCATTCGTAGAATTAGAATTACCCGAACGTTCACGTTCGTTACCAGTATGTGGTGAATGACGAGTCTGAGCACCAGATTCTCCTGAAGAACGTAAAATTTCGGGGGAACAACAATCACTAGCTGCTGAACTAGAGCGTTCCGAACCACTTTCCGATGGTATTATATCCATACCCATATGGCGTAATATTTGTGCCTGTGCATTAAAATGTTCTTGCAGTTGACGATGATAGTCCAAAGCTAAACGTTGCTCATAATGTAATAGTGCGGGTGGTATGAATGGGCGCACGGGCATTGGACCCAGTAAATGATCCCAAGGTCGCACAATCTGTGCAGTAGGTAATAACATAGCAGCTGCGGCAGGATGTGGCACACCAGCAGCGGCTGCTGCACTTACTACGTCTAATGGTTCTGTACGCGGTTGCAACAAACTAGTAGTTGCCATCGTCCGCGTTTGTGGTGGTGGCGGTGAAGCTGAAGAACCGCGTTTTTCATGACCCAATATATCTGCAATAGAGAAACTTTTCACTCCCTCAATATTAGATTTGCAATTAGCAGCTGCTGTTGTCGTTGTTGCGTTAGTTGTTGCCACTGAAATTTGCACTGGACTGGGGGTACGATCACGAGTATCAGCAGCTTCAGCTGACATGCGCAAGCGTTTCAGCGGCTGAAAGTATTCTTCTGCGACAGCTCCGACGGCTGAGCGCGATATGAGGCCAGCTGCTGCTGCATGTTGTTGCATCAATAATTGTTGATGTTGTAGTAAATCTAAAGCACTATTACGTTGCAAATGGTGATGTTGTGGTAGTGGACTCGGTGCCCCACCGACGGATATTTCTGATTCAGCTGGACTTGCTGGACGCATTGTGGGTTGACAAAGCATTTTTAACATCAATATTATGTTTAAATATTATTTTGTTTATTAAATTTTTTGCGAGAGTATAGTTTTGAATTATTTGTACTCAATTAATTTTTGTTTTTATAAGTGTACAGCTGAATGTGTGTATAAATTTATTAAATATATCACTGTTTTGCTAATTATGTTTTTTTATTTTGTTTTTTTTTTATTTTATTAAGCAAATAAACTTAATTTAATTATTTCATAGAATTGTTCACTATATTTTTTAAATTACACAATTCACTAGTTATATTTCATTAGCTACTCGTACATCTGAACTCGTTAAATGTTCACTAAATACTGAAATCAATCAAACACAAATCAGTCTTCAATCCACTATTCGTAAAAGGCGCTCATTACGTTTGTAATTCTTTATTTCATTTTTCTTTGTGTTTCTTTCATTACAGTTTTTTATTATTGCATCTTTTTTTTCTTGTTTTTCTTTTTGGTAAGCTTGTTAATTTGACGTACGACAAACTCAAAAACACAGCTTGTAAATCCAACAGGACTGAAGCAACCACTTCACTCGACGATTTGCAGTCAACTAAACTAGATTGGAGCTTGCTAACTAGACAAGTTGATTTTCATGTTTTTTCGTTGGATATGTGTTTCTTGTTTGATGGTGGTTAAATGTGTACAAAAATAAAAAACCAGAGATTAACAATGCTATAAAAGCAGAAACCTGAGAGCAATGAGAGTAAATGACGAAGGCAGCTACAATATGTTTGAAAGGGAACGTTACGCGCTGAAAAGAAGAAATAAGCCAACAGTCTGGTTTTTTCCGTCCTCTTTACACTTGCTACATATGAAGAGTATGAAATATGTGAGATTTAAGGTATTTGTCGTTAACCAATCAAACACATTCAGTATAAAAATTGTAATGGTGGTTCCTTTACTAATTATGGCGTTCGTCATACTTAAAAACTATTCACATTTATAAAGCAGAAGCCAGAAAAAGTGTTGTAGGAACATTGTAACGAGACTGTATTTAGTATAATCCAAAATTAGTTTTTTTTCGTTTAATTTTTTATTGCAATGGATTTATGCTGTTTAAAATATTTTACAATTAATTTGTTAAAAAAGAGACTAATTGTGGAAGAGTAATTTAAATGAATATTTTCGATTTTAGTAAAAGTTTTATATTTTCATCGTTTCTGCTGACTAATAAATATTTCAGTTTTAAAAATTTTAATTTTATAATTGAATGAATTTTATTTAAACGTATTTTTCAACAAATCGTATTATATGTCTTAGTATGTATAATTAATTTACCTTAAAATGATTTTTTAAATAAAATTTGAAAAAATTTTAATTAACTTTACATATCCGAACTATATATAAAAATCAATTTACTCACATATAATACAAACTAAACAATTTTTTTTTTAAATAATAATTAATCCAAAATTTTGAAAATGAGTTGAAATAATTTGGGAAGAATATTTAATTATGTGATTTTTTTTTCGAGTTTTTATGGGATATACCATATAGTTACAATAGTTAAAATTTTCAAATATGAGATTATAATATATGAATAGAAGTATATTAATGTTTTAGAAGATTTGATATTAAATTATATTTTATAACACATCACATATGCTCATTAAAATCAAAAATTTTATTTTTCTATAATTATTTATATTTCATAACATGACTTTACAAAGAAAAATAAAAAACTTTTAATTAAATCAAAACTTTGATTTAATTAAGACTTCAATTCTTCTCATACACATTCTACAGTTATGTTATAAATGCATTGAATGCGGAATAAATAATTTTGCAGACATTCCACTTAACAATGTTTTATTGTCATTGATTTATTTAGTTGATAAATCCTCAAATTGAATAAATAATGTCCAAGGAAGAATATATATGTCAGGTCTAGCAAGACAGTATGAACAAAAACAAACACTAGATATCTTTTTTGCTCACATAATATTTTGATACATCGACATAGGGTCTTATGATAGGGTCTTATGATTAGAGAAACATTCCAGTTAAACATAAAACATATATAGAGTATTCTATCCACAGTTGCAATTTCAAGTACTTTGTATATACAGTTTGATAAATGTAGACTATCTACGATATACACTATAAAGCTATTTAGTTTCCAAAATTTCAAAGAATTATAGCGAGTTTAATGATATTTCATCCTTAGTAGTTAGATTAATACTTATTTTCTTCTAAGATACAAAACATATCACATAAAGCATAAGTTTGCCATTGTATTATATTATACATTTACGACTTAGGTTAAATATGCTAAGAATTTACTTTCTTAGTAACATTAGTTAGTTGTAAGATCTCCCATTCAAAAGTATTTTGGTGTTTATTCAAGGGTCTAAGTGCTAACAGGCCTATATGGATCGTTAAGAACATAGTTATAAAATCTAAAGCAATATCATACGTATTTCTTTATTAAGAATGTTGGTATTTATAAAAATTTCAATTAATGGTCAATAAGTAATCTTAGGAATTCCTTAGATCTCCGTCATAAAAACGCAACCCATGCATGGATTTATTTATTAATCTTATTAAAAAAAAATAATAATAAAAAATAATAGTGAAATCTTGTCGTATTACTATTACTATTATTGTTTAAGGAATACTAAGCATCGCGGCTCAATTGACTATAATATATATAATATATTTTTTTTCTGTTCTTTCGTACATGAAATGATATTTTTAATCTTTATTATATATCTATAATAAACTTTGTACAAATATTACCAGTTAACTTCTTACTTCTTAATATATGTGCAATCTATACAATATTCCCTAAGAGCACACAATATTTTCATCTGTATATCTTTATCAGTATTGGCCTACTGCGGCGACGATTAGTCTGATTGCATGGTGAATCGTTAGATACTACCTGCTGCTTCAGCACAGGATATCACCAGTTCGTATGGCGATATCATGCTATCATAATAATTTAAACAAATGTGTAAGGATGTTTGGCTCAATTATGCATTTTTCCTTGATTTGTCTTTTCCGTGCTAAACCCCCATCGATAGAGGCTAATCACAAATATTGAAAGATGTTACGACTAAAGCGTTCTACAAAACGGAACAAAGTAACATACAAAAGGCGCCGCCGTACGGATTGACCCCAGTTTAGATTTATCTTTAGCGCTTCTGTATTTTTTTTATTTTATTGTTTATTCAAGATACTCACAATCGTATCCACTTAACAAGTAAAATTTTGAAGGCTTTGTCTGGTGTGGGAAAATATTTGTGCGCTGTTCTTCTTTCATTTCTAATTTTCTTTTAATTTCTTATAAAAATGTGTTAATTTATGCCTAAATATTAAACCTCATTTTGATGTCCATTGTCTTTTGATAGAAGCGTAGAGGGTATAAATCCTTTCCTAAACAAAAGGTTTTAATAGATTGTTAATTTAATTTGTACACCTGTAGTGCAGAACATTCGACAAGATGCTAATAAATGCATTAAAAGGATATTATAGATACGAAAGGAGTCGCATCGGAATCGCACATTGTGTGTGGTTCTATTCACACGCTGATAAATTTCCATTTCTGTTTCTGTTTCTATTTTCGATTTGACTTATTTAATCATTTAGGAATAATATCTTCTATGATTTCAATTTCAAATCGAAAGTTATTTATAAATGCATTTATAATTTCAATTTAGTCGCTAGTAATTATAAAATATTCATATTAAAGATAAAACTATAAATATTTACGATTCGTTGCAGACAGCTGCGATGATCTGTAAAGGGTACCTCTAAAAGGGGTACAAAGAAAAGAAAAGGTGTTTATATTCTAAAGAAAATAGAAAAGATTTAAGGGATTCAGTATTGTTTCACTGATTAAATTTAATCAACTTTGTGCAGATGCTGATTAATTTACGTATTGTCATATTTAACTTCTTGGCTGCTTTCCAGTCTTGACTCACATTAGTCTGATTTGTTTGTTAATTTAAGTGAGTGTTTTTTAGTTTATTAAGCGAACCCATTTTTGTGTATTTTAGTGTTTTTTTTTGTTATAAATCGCATTAAAGTGTTCAAACCTCAAGCGATCGACCCCACAACACGTTCAATCGCGCTCTCCACACTTTCAAGCCAAATTAATATCTTCAGAAAAGCAACGCAACTGACAAAACTTACAAAACGCACACTAAATACTGCGCTAATGATCGTAAATAACCGATTTCTTTCATGATTATTTTTAATTTTATTTTTATCGAATTTTGTCTTCGTGTTTCATTTTAATTAATTTGAAATGAATTTCAGTTTTGTTTGTTAAATTAGAACGAAAAACGGCATTGATTGTCCGTCTGTTTGCCGCAAATGAGCTCCAAGTTGGTGGTCGGATACTCGTGTATTTGTGGTACTACTCATACCCTGGTAATGTGCTTAGACGTACACACTGGTAACAATAATGTAATTTTATTAATAGGTCGATTGATATAATCGAATCAATTTGGAACGTATTGCTTAAAACAGCTATCCAGCTCTCCAGCTATTCAATGCTATTGAATTTGTTTTAATAATGTTTTTTGGTTTAATTTTCTTCTCATTGGCATTTCATTTTGTAAATTAGTATAATTGAAAAATGGTGGAATTAGTTGGTAGTACTAAGTAAACTAATATTTATTTAATAGAAATGTAATAAAATTTAATGAAGTTAACATTGAAATATTTATGCAGAGCTTTTGATGCAAGTTTTCTTAATTTTAATTTAATTTCGTGGTTTTAGTGTAGTTAGGTAGCACTTTTGTCTTCCCAATGGTTTTGGGAATATAAATTCACTAACGTGTTGTTAGTGATGTTAGTTAGCCGTTTGCGCTACTCGTTTTTTTCTTACTTATTACATAAAAGTTATGTTTATGGTAGCTAAATACAACTAGCTTTGTAAGTGTAGTTATATAGCATTTTTTAATTACGTTAACCCAATTAAAGTAAGTCTTTTGGTAGTCAATTAAACAAAAATTAAAAATATAATGCTTACTACATTATAAAAAAAATAACATTAACAGGACAAAAGTGC